GGGGCGTCGGTATTTCGGCAGCTCTCGCCCCCCCCAGAACATCATCTCTGAGGACTGGAACCTGTTGGACGTAGGGGAAACGATGTCGGCATCTTCAAATGTGGTGCCGGGGGTCACGGACCCGGACCCCCAAGGAGCCTTGGAGGAGGGTGGGGGAAACCCCTACGGCATCTCGGTGGGGATGCTCGAACTATGCTCGGGGAAGATCCTCGATTGTAACTCAGCCAGTTCTTCGACTGCCTGCCCCGCCGCAGCCACCATCACCAGCAGCGAAAAGGCCGTCACTATAGCTTTTCCGGACGGGGACAAGACACTGCTCGACTGGAAATCCTTTTTCAAGCGTGGACATCAGCGCTGAGGACTGGAACCTGTTGGACGTAGGGGAAACGATGTCGGTATCTCCCGATGTTGTGCCGGGGGTCACGAACCCTGACCCCCACGGAGCCTTGGAGGAGGGTGGAGGACGGCGTCCAACAGGAAGTCGGAGTCTCCCGATTGGCCGATGACCTGGGGTGGGGGTGGTATCGAAACGAAGGAGAACACCAGGAAGCAAGGGATTCATCAGCCGTTGCGGTGGGAGATGGGGGTGGAAAACACGAACTACTGCACATGAACGTGTCCTCACGACATCGCCAAGGTCCAGCTGCACCTGAGACCACCACGGATCGGTCGATTCGAGGGTCAAACAACATCGCACGAACAAGGTTGATTCACGATCAACATGCTCCTTGCGTGGGCGGGGAGAGCTAGAGGCACACCATTACTTCAAGCACGTGGGGATCAAGAAATCCTGGATCCAACAATGCACCACGAAAGACTTTGACCACATGGACAAGTGTACGGTTAAGAATCATGAGACTGAACCTCTATTCGTCGCTACTACAGTACTGGGCCACAGCACCCCACAGAGGAAGTAAGCCGCGGGCCTGGGGCAAAGTAAGAGGATCATAGGTGGTGGCGCGTCCTGTTTTGATTGATAGTAAACCGCCGTAGTCCCTATCCATGAGTTCTGCTCACACTAATATGGGCAAGAAAAGAAACGCAAGAGCTCGGACGTCAACACTGCATTAGTTCGAACGTCAACCACAATGTTTTCATGAAGCAAATTTGTGTTGTTGGAAAACGGAGGGGGTTTAGATCCCTTGTGTAGTCCTACCCGAACCAGTATTGATAGTTCCGGAATTTCCGAAAGCCCAGGCATCGCTGTGGTCGAGAGCAAGTGAGCGTTCTGCCAAGAGCGAACGTGAGCAACAACTGCCGTAGTCATAGAGGCAGCAACAACATGTACACACAGAGAGTCCAGCTCAATGCCGAAACAAATGCGTCCCGCCTCGACGGATTTGCAGACCTCGGAAATAAAAAGCAATGCCCATACAACACCAAGCATCGAAGGAGTCCTCACTTCAAGCAGAAAACCTCAGATCAGACCTTGCGCTACACGTGCACCCGCTTACCTCCAGGAGCTCCGCTGTTGTGTCCCGTTCTGGCTTGGCGGTCACCAACGAGGCAAACATCGCTGGTGCTGCCATCGGCCAGGTCGTCGTGTTCGGTGGGACGACGCGACCACCGGCGGCGGCGGCGGCAGCGGCAGCGGGGGAAACACCGTCGCTGACAGGATCGACGTCGAAGCGGCATACACCCTGCTCGCTATGCGCAGCGGGAGTGCTGGTGAGGGAAGCTGCCCCGCTCTCCTGACAGGCACA